TCCGAACCCTCAAAGGAGAATGGAGGAAAATCAGCAGAAAAGGTGTGTGGATGAAAAGATGTCAGGGGAAATGTGTCCTAATGATTTTGATCCGGTATACACAAGACTGTCTCACGAAACAAGCTGGCAACCTGCTACACTCATGTCCTCAACGAGTAACCAAGCGAAGCTAAAGCTGGAGGACGGCCGTGTGGTGCGTCGCCATTTTGACCATATCCGGCCACGCTTAGACGAACCACAGGAGCGGGATCAAAAAGCGACTGCTACTGACCCAATAACGGACGGAGAATCTGATTCACAAAACCAGGAACCACAAACGGATGAGGTACAACCAGAATGAAGACACTCAAAACGCACGCCTAAGCCAACTGATGGGCATCCACCCGGCGTCTGTAGTCTTAACCAGTGAAGAGAGGGGTGTCACGTACGCACTTGAATATCGATTCGTAAACACAGGCCCTCACATGATTAATTGATAATAACCTTGCCTTACTTTCCTTATTACATTGGTTTTCCTTTCCGGCTTTTCTAGCCACTGTAACGCATGCTGTTTTTAGTAAATCGGCTCCATACGACGCGTGCGCATTCTGTTCCGTTTATCGGCTAAGGGCCATACTTAACACAGACTTACAAGATCTTGTAACCACTGTCCCTTTATAAAAACACATTACTTTGCAAACGCGGTTCAGAACAGGTAGTAGGTAATCTGTGCTGGATCTTGCGCTTACCAATGGGGAGCATATGATTGATGCGTTGGTTTTAGACTACCCATTGGATCGCAGTGACCATGTAGTGATCTGATCCAACTTCCTCCTCTAGGCAGAATATCGGAATGAGAACGATGAGACTGTGCGAATCATCATAAGCTACGACCGATTAGCTTTGTTCATCAGCGCTATAACTTCGTCGTTCATTGCCGAAGAACCCCCGGAATCCGCCTGGCTCGAGTTCGTCAACAAATTCAGTCAGCTGATTGCACATGCTTTAGAGTTAAGAGTTTGCCCTAAGTGCAAAGCAGTTTCTTTCGTTAGGAGCAGAACTCGAAACTGGATGACAGTACGCAACGCACCATGGTCAATGTACAGAGAAGCTCCAGCAGCAGAAGGTTGGGACAACTATGTAGTCTAACGTAACAACTGCATTCAACTGCTAGCCAAAGACAAAGCCGAAAATCAGCAGAATATCGCAAAACCTTCAGTGCTAACCACAAACTGCTGTACAAGCGCGTTAATAGCCTACGAAAGGTGAGGCAAGGATTTCCTCCACTCAGGACGGCTGATGGCCCAACAAAAACGGCTGTGGAAGCAGCAAACGCGCTGCAGATGTAACATACCCCCACGTTTCAGATGACCTTGCCACCAAGCGATCTTCCAATCATTGTCGTCTCTCCGCCAGGATTAACCCACATCACCTTTACCGCGGAGGCTGTATTGCAAAAACTGACGTCTCTAAGCAAACACAGCTCGCCGGGTGTCGATGCTATTCGTCTAGAGGCACTGGAAGCAGCAGCAAGCCAAATGGTAGGACCTTTAACTCAGTTTTTCCAGCGCTGATTAGACGAGAATCAAGTTCCCGCTATGTGGAAGCTCGGAATAATAATTCCGATTCACAAAGCTGGAAGCAGAACGAAGCGCTCCAACTACCGCCCAGTATCCCTCCTTCCTATACTCTCCAAGGTCATGGAATCCATAGTGGCTGCTGCACTGGTGTGTTATCTGGAAAACTGTAAAATCATCACGCCCGAGCAACACCGCTTCCGTCGACAGCGGTCATGCACAACGAATTTACTAATCGCACATAATAGTTGGACCGAATCATCTGACGCTGGAGAAGGCGTTGATGTGATCTACCTAGATTTTCGAAGGCTTTCAATCGTCCATGCCATCAGATGCTACTCTACAAGCTCCAGCATTACGGGATCGGCGACCTGCTTTTAAGCTGGATTGCCAACTTCCTACTTCAACGGCGATTAGTGGTCAGAGTTCGAAGCTCTTTATCGGACCCCATACAAGTCGAGTGTGATGTGCCGTAAGTCCCAGTTCTAAGTCCACATTTGTTTTTGGTGTTTATTAATGATCTTGCAGAGGGAATCGCTTCAAACCTTCTGTTTGCCGACGATATCAAGATCTGGCGAAGGATCCAGGCAAAGACCGACCAGCGTCTTGTTCAGAGAGACCTAGATACAGTATATCAATGGTTAACCAAATAGTTACTACATTTCAACGTGTGTAAATGCAACATACATTCCATCCGACATCAGGGCAGCTACCCATACCGGCTTGGAACGAATGTACTGCAACAATCAGCTGTCGAACTTGACTTGGGTGTCCTGCTTCACGATAACTTTGGTTGCTCCATGCAATCCGAAAGGCCTCGAAAACTGGAAACCAACACTTCGGGCTGTTGCGACGGACGTTTGGAGAAATAAACAGCTCCACATTTCGACAAATGTTCAGTGCATATGTTAGCCCCTATGTCGAATACGCAATCCAAGCCTGGCATCCATGGTTGAAATGCGGTTTTATTACACTGGAGCAGCTTCAACGTCTGGCACCTAACAACGTAATTGGAATGCACAATCTTTCATATGAGGGGAGGCTGAAACGATTGAGGATATTCAGCAGACGCTATCGTAGATTACGAGGCAACCTGATTATGGCATACTTGATTCTGCGAGACCCACATCATGTGTGGCGCACTATACTGCGACTCAGCACCAATACAACCCTGAGGGGCCACTTGTTTAAACTCGCAGAACAATAACGCCGTCTGGAGTGCCGCAGAAATTTCTTACCCATTCGTGTCTGTCACCCGTGGGATGCTTCCCCAGAATCAGTCCTCTGCAACGACATTATTAGTACTTAAAATACGGTTGGATGACGCACTCATCCACTTACAGTTTGTCAATTAACGCCACGTCTCCATTCTACTCCTGGAGTTTACCATGGATTTATTTGATGTTAACTGTGGGTGCTGTGAATCTACGAAGATTGCAGGACTGCAGAGGAGTAAATGAGGTCATTGTTTCCATATTTTAAGTACTAACTGTTTTACTGTTATTATTATTTCGATATCCTTCCCCACTATTCAACGGGATTTGTAAAGCAACGTTGCTTAACCCGTATAAATTCATTACTCATTGTTGTTCATTGTGGTTTTCTAGGATCTGCATAAGCGCAGCTGCGATGATTGATTCCAAATTTCTGAAAAGTACAGTAAGCAGCATTACTGACAGTAATTAATAGGATCAGTGCGGCTACCTCCCTTATGAATAGGAGTGATGACCCCTCGCTTCCATACTGGTGGAATTTGGTTCTCCTGTAGACTGCTGATAGAAAACGGTCAGTGCTTCTGGTATATCATTGGCTACTACCTGCAGAACCTTCGGTTTAATGTTACGACTTCAGAAAAACTGTGGATATGCAGGGATAACAACTTCTTTAACAGCTTCTGCAGTAAATGTGATGTTAGATAAACCTAACGGCAGAGTAATAGGGACAATGAAAATATTTGGGCTCGTTAGTTTGCTGGAAATTGTGGGAGTAATGAAGCCAGCGCTGTCCGCGTGTACCCATCAGCCGTGACCTGTGCTTGCATTCCGCGCTTCACCGTACGAAGGCCATTAATGTGCCTGTATAGGAATTTGCGGATCGTGCAGAATCGCTTCATTAACTTCTGTTGAAGCGGAAGTCCTCAATGATCAATCTCACATAGAAGTTACGACGTGCCATGTATGCGGTCCAGGTGTCGGCGTTCGGGTAGTCACTGTGAGCTCGCCATGCCAAATCCCTAAGCGACATACGCTTACGCGTTCTAATCAGTATTGAATTGGTTTTAATTTTACGATGGAAGGATTTCTGTTCCGATGGGTGCGCTGCCATTGTGCTAAACGTCTTTGTGAACATTTCTCAGGAGACATCTGGGGTATTCGATTAAGAAGGTCCCATATGTCTACCTAACAAGCAGGAATAGCACGTTGTAGTACGTGACAGTACAGACTTCGTCGTCTCCCTTTTCAGGATATTCCGCATAGCACACATAGCTACTAAATAATGTCAGTGCCCCTTGCTTCATAGTGGCGAAGCATAGTATTCCAGCAAATTAATGATGTAATTCTAGGGACCGTTGGGTCCCTGTTTGACAAACAAATAAACGAAAGGCGTATGAACTGAGCAATCAGTCACCGGCTCCCAATGGGCGCGATTCCCTGAATTGGCTTCGTTGACTTGCGGGCAGGCCACTCGGTCAAAGGCTCGGGGTGGTGCCCCCTAAGTCAACACCCTACCTCGGTTTGGGCAACCGGGACGGAACCATGGACTCCGGTGTATTGCGTTGTGTATTATTTTACAATTTCTGTACCTTTCTTTGCTTTTCATGGTTTCTGATGGTTCCATGTCTATTGGTATACGGTAGCAAATATATATAAAGCAACATGGTCACTACGACCCAGTGAGGTGCTTGTAGCTATTTCACAGACCATGAGTTCTTCGTTAGTGAGCACAAGATCAAGTATCGAGGGCCAGTTAGCAGTTCAAAATCTGGTGGGAGAGAGAGTTGCACAAAGGGCTGCCGGAAATTAGCTCTAGCAAACAGGCTTTAAACTGTGCACCATTGGTTGCTGGCGTTTTCACGTCGTGCACATTAAAGTCTCCGACGATAAGAATGTGGGTGTAGGACTTGTACAAGGCAAGACATGATTCACTCTGGAGTCCATTTCCGACGTAGAATTTGGTCGGCGGTAAACTGCGGCTAGTTAACCTGTGTCCTTATTCCGCAATCATAGCCGGCAGTAAAGCGAGTCAGGAGTTGGGATTTACGGGTGACCGATAACTTCACATTGAAAGTTTGTATTATAATAAAGAATCACATTACCCCTTCCAGTTTTATCGTTCCGAACCAGCGACATACCGGATAAATTTGTTTCAGAATCGGTTATCTCCAGGTTTACCCAGGTCTCTGTAATCATGATGCGGTCCCGCGGTTTTGTGGCTTGGAGGTATCTAAGTTCGGCCAACTTATTTAGAAGGCCTTAGGCGTTTGTGCACAGGATACCGTTTTTGTTGTTAGGAGTGCATTGATGGATGTCAAATTTGCGTTTGTTTTTAAGCCGATTGTTAGATACTCAGCGTTTAATCGTATTTTTCGGCCGGTTATCGGTTTATGAATTGCTGTCAAGATACATGGCCAAGCAGAGTGTTCTAGTTCAGAAGCTTCAATCGTGCTTCTCTCTGTCCCGTTGTGTGCCGTGGGCGCTGCTATGTCCATCTCTCCGCAGGACTGTGGAGACAAGGAATTTACCGCGATTGCAAGTTCCATCGAATTGCTGACCACTCGCGGCCATGTGTCCACTGAATTTAGCCGAATCTTGGTTGGCAACCTGGTAGGAGATCTCGACAAGTTATCCAATAGAACTTGCGTCATACCCTTAGAGTTTAATGCAACTTTCATCAGTCTTGGACCGCAGCCCTTGTAGTTAGGTGATGAAAGAGTCCTTATCAACGATTGAGCGATAAACTTTTCTAGAGAGGGTTCTTCGCGATTGTAGCACCAAAGCTCTCCGTCATGTGTTTGCGCCTCGTGATCAGTCAGTCATTCAATTCAAACTAATCGCAGCTCAAAAGGACTGCGGAAGCGCCAGTTGGCTACTCCGGAAGCAATGGATGCAACCTCAGTTATGCAAGCACAGGACGCTTGTACAAGCGCTCACACTGCCTTTGCCCAGGACTAATTGTGAGCTTTGACGCCAAACCAACAATTTCTTTCTTGTTATGTTCGCCTTTCAGTGTTTGCAGTGTGAAAGCGCGTGACTTTTACCACCTGTTTGCATTGACTGGTCTATCGATTGGCTCGTTGACCTTCCGTTGAACTGTGACCAACCATTTGCTACTGCAGCTTTAGATAATTTATCGTGTTACATTAAGTTGTAAATTGTAAAACTGTAAATGCCTGAGGGGAATTGTCGAAAGATCTCTTCGCAGCAACTCCTCTTCCTCCAATCAACAACAGCAGTACATCAGCCATTTGAACTAATGTTTCGCTGCCATACAACCATGATGACCTATGGAATGAAGAATAATAAGAGGGAGAGAAGAGGGACTTACCTGAAAACCTTAATGCCCTAAGCAAACATTCAGGGTCAAGGCGCCTACACCTTGTGTAGACAACATACCGTCACAAACAGCTGGCTATCGTGTAAAGATAAGGCGGCATCGGCGAGACAGCTTTCTTGCGGCTTTCACTGCCCCGCGTCATAATCAGTCATTACCCCGCAGATAACTCAGCACCAAACACATTTTAAACAGGCAACCCGATTAGGTGACGGTAGCAGGCGCGCCACTGGTGTCGACTGCGAGTCATGTCCTGTAAAAGCTCGAGCCAAGCACAAGGTGAGTCACGTGGACTCCAGCCCGGAAGGCGAGACGGACCAACGGCACCCAGTTTGGTCGTCAACGACTTCATTTCCCGCTGCCAAGTCAAGTTTTGTCCACCGCGAGCCTTGCATCACCCTACACCTGGCAGACTAAACAAGGCCCTACTAGGTAAGCGGTGACCAGCCACGCATAGTACGTGCTACTTGATCAGGAGCATGCGGAAGCTCGGGAACACTATGAACAAATATTTTCTTGCTATCACTATTAGGAGGGCCGCCTTAGTTACGCGCGTCTGTTGGGCTAGCCTTCCAAGGAATATCGGGTAATATGCGCATCCCGTTCGGTGAATTGCAAAGACGAACTGCTGAGAGTAGGACAGCCTTTGTCTCATCTGCCGAGTTCAGTGTTACGCGCATAATTCAAGGTTCACCATATTACATTGGGGTTAGGTGACGCGCTACGTGCTTCAGCTAGTGGGTTGAACCCGAATACCAATCGCATCGCAGACGGAACTCCACTGGTGGCGATGGTATAGCAACCTGTCTTTTATTGCTCCAGATCTGGACTCGGGAACGTTATTGCATACGAGAGTTAACGCACTGTGGTTGCTTCTAGCGATTGTCGGTTTGAGAGCCGTTACTGGTAAATTGCGCTGTTTAGGAGGCGCCACTGAATTTGACGGTGAAAGCTGAGTCATACCGCGTGTGCTCAGTACAGAAAATGGATCGATGTGTGTCGCTCAGGGTGTGTATCTAGACGACGGATGAGTACGTTAACCCTTTTCCTCTGCACCGGAATGACTCCGCCTATGGGCTGTCAGAGTCATGGCTGAATCTCTAGGTGAAGCGTCCATAAATAGGGTAGTAGCAATCATGTCGAATGTGGTTTGCTCGACTAATAGGTTAAGATGCGTCAGAGCAAGTGGCGCAGATAATGTAGGGTGGTTTGCAAGACTGACTTTACTCTTTGGCTTAGGGGCGGAGCACAGATGGGGTTGTTGGGGAAGATGGTTGATTTTTTCGATTCCAATGGCTAAGCACTGACACCCGCCAACCGCTTGACTGTTCCGGTTGATTTTTCGCATGTTCTCATAAGCATAACGACACATGCGATAATTGGAATAGCTCTGCATACTGGCAAAACCACAGAGCATCGGGCACATTTTCGAGTCCAACCTACTCCACCACCCTTAACGTGGAATGAGAAGCGGCAGTTTGAGCAGGTCAGACCATTCCTAGCCACGCGAGTGCATTTCGCTTCTCTTAGTTTGCCGCTAAGTGGGACCGTTTTCAGTACCGGCTGTTGTGACAACCGAACACTTAAACTGTTCAATTACGTGAGGTTAAGGGGAAGCGATTCTCAAGTTCGCTATCATAGTAGAGCAATTGATCTCGGCTGTTGTTGGTGGGTTTGTCAGCAGAATAACGCATACGCACGCGCAGTCTGCCTTCGTTATCGACTGACGGTGATTAGGGTGGGATTGGGCTTGTAATTAAGTAGATGCCAGCTGCGGAGTGTCACCGACTGGCGAATGTAAGCAAAAGTCACAACTTGGGTCGCAGCTTCCTTAGAAATGGTCCTATAGGAGTAACATTTTGAGCACTGGGTGGCGCGGAGGACCCTTTACTGAATGAACTTTCGAAGTAGGGAAAGCTGTCAAAAAACAAAGTTGTACACTTAAAACGCATCACGAGGATAACTAAAGCAACTTGGGTTGCGGGAGTTAGGATCCGCAAGGAATACTTCCGTAAATAGGTAAGCACTGGATGCAAGAAGTTAATCCGATTCGAAGGAAGGTATAAGGACTGCGTTGGGCAAAGATGGATCAGGTAAAAATTCTTGACAGGGACGAGCGCACCTTTACCGACTCACACCGGACTGTGCACATACACACTGTCGGCGAGACGCTGACGAACTCATTTGTGTCAGACCTATGGATGCCGCCACATCCTTTTTGCTCATGTCCTTGTATGTAACACATGGTGACTGCTCACCAATGTCGTTGGTTAGATGAGCATTGTTGTCCGAACCGTTGTCCTGAAGTGGTCCGACTAAATGGCTGCCCCCGTGCGTTTACTTAAGGGACGCTGCTTTGATCCGGAGTTCCGCAGGCAGCCTGCTGCGAACCGCATACCAACACTTCAACACCATTGTTGATATCCGTCTAGTTAAAGTAGCAGTTTCACAATCATCAGGTGACATCTTTTAAGACTTGGCGATCTGCGCAGCCTCGAGATCTATAGTGCTATGAAGCTTTTCAGGGAGTCTCGCGAATGTAGCGCCTTGGTTTCTGGTCGTGGGTGGGCGCTTCGCGCTCGTCATGACTCCTAGTCTCGGGAACACCGTGTAAAAGTATGGTCCTGGATGCGGATTCATTCTAGTATTCTGCCAAGTCGTGCTTCGTCTGTTTGCGCTCGCTGCACGGAATATCCGGAAAGATGCGAATGGAGCTGCCAATAACAGAACTGCTTCTAATTCGTCGGCGGAAGTCAATAAAAATCGGAGAATCCTCGGTTCACCGGAGGGTTCCGAGTTTGGATGACGGGTGACCAGTGTCAAGTTGGCGGGCTTAGCTACGACACCAAGAATGGCACATATCAAGTTCCACTGGTTCACATCAATGAGTAGTTCTCCTTTCAAGATATTTGATGGTAAATGTGGTGTATATTACCGATGTGCAGCCCGGGTTGAGGTCGACGGTATAGCTGGTTTGCACACAACCCGTAGAGGATATGTAAGTACATGCTCGCCATCTTCATTTAGTTTGAAGTCCTAAGTTCCCTGTTGGTTTTGGCAACAAGCATGTTTCAGCCACCACTAGTGTCGCCGAGCTTCTGAAATTTTGGAAAAGTTTCAAGGCTGGACGAGGCCCTGGCCATATTTGTTACCATCGCACTGGCGGTGGTTGGTTCAAGCGTATTTGGGTCACTAGTGGTATTGATGTTTAATACCACAGGTGACGCATTTTTAACTCGCCGCCCAGTGTTATTCCTCAGTTTTGAAGCGGAGCCCAATGTGACGTACTGCGATTTGCTTTCTGTCACCCCTGCTTCTGACCAATCTATTTTGGTATTCTTCATTTGTTCAGTCATTGCCCCCAGCCTTCCATGTCTCTGCGATAGTTCATGTACAATCTTTACCGATTAGACGGAACCACAGAGAATCTGGTTACCTATTGTATATCTTCAAGTGGTTTACTGCGCCCGAGAAAGTGTTATAGAAAAAATTTAATGAAAAAATGCAGTTAATATTTTTACTGTCAAAAGAATGGACTTATCGTTTTAAAAGCAGTAGCCCTGCCCTCCTGGTATTTTCATAGCTTACATAAGTGAAAAACTAAGGTATTTCCCAGGAGTACAATGGATAGTGCCAAGTAAAATGTAAGTGGCTGAATGCGCCGTCCAACCGAATTTTAACTACGGCGTGTATGTGCAGAAACAATCGATTCGAGGAGTGTACCATGGTTGACACCTGCGAGTAGAAAAAAAATTTCTACGGCACTCGAGGCGGCTGTACTGTTCTGCTAGTTTCAAGAGATGACCTCACAAGTTTGTGTTACTGCTGAGTTGCGACAAAGGGCGGTGCACATTTGGTGGTCTGAGGGTTCGCTGAGCTCGGCAGTTTGGCTGCAAACGTTGGCAGCTAAACTGCCGAGCTCAGCGAACACTCAGACCGCCAACTGAACACCCAGAGCTACCAATATTTTCTTCTATATCACAGCGATGCACATTATTTGGATTGTGTAAAATCAAGTATACCATTTTTAGATGTAGTTCGTTGCAGTCCCAAGTATACCATTATCAGGTTGCCTTGGAATCGGTGATACCGTCCGCTGAGTAATGCCAAACCTATCCGCCTCTGCTCGTCTGGTAGACTGCGTAATCCAATGACGTATTTGGAAGCGCGACGTTGAGGATACCCCGGTGCAGTGATGCCCTGTTTCAGCCGTGGCTGCCAGGCTTAGATTGCGTATTCGATAAGGGGGCGAACATATCCCCTGAAAATCTAACGGAAAATATGTATATCTATTAGTCCGAAAGCGCGCCGTAACAGACCGAAATGTTGGTTACCAGCTTTCTATGCCTTTTCGGATTGCAGGGAATAACTCACGTAATCCAGAACCTGCACGTCAAGGTTACGTTCGACAGGAGACTGCAGCAGTACATGCGTTCCTAGCCAGTA